AATTTGATATTCGAATATTAAACGAATATTCGAATATATAGTCGAATTCGAATCGAATACTGAGATATTTAACTCGATTCGTTTACACCCTTAGGTGTCACAAGTGCATGACCGTTAAGACAAGAAAACACTCCTTCGAGGACGCTACGCCCACAGAATACACAACCCGCTACATACATACATTCATCGTACTTCAATTATTTTATATTTAGCCTCTATCTATAATTCTGACCGTCACTTTCGACAATTCACTTGAGGTTGTCCGTACGGTTAAGTTTCACCATCCTTATCTAATTCCTCTTCCTATCTCATCACCTGTAGCAGTAGCTGCCACATCCCAGCCTACCAACTCCGGGACCACGCCACTCATTATCCTTTTATATATATATATATTCTTTTCACGTGGTTTTTGCACAGTATAATGTAGTATAAGCTCTCAATAATTACCAACACTAAATTTCTTGTAGAATATATAATAATTGACTTTGCTCTTATAACCAAACCCCCACCCCAGGCTTCATCTGTAAGTTGCACTGTGGGTCTTCTTTGATTTTTTTTTTTCCTTTTATCCAAGTCGGATAAGTTGTTGTGCATACCATAGCTGATAGCTGTGAATGCGAGGAGATAAGCAGCTATGTCTCTTGATATGTCGACTTTACTGGCAAGGTATATTTCTCCATGTTCTCTGTTTTTTTTGTTCTTGTTCATATCTCTTCTACAGTTAAGAACAGTGGGTTGAATTTTGTTCTTATTAGTTCTACCTGCGTTTGCTTGTTCTTGATAAAGGGTGTCTAAAGTTTAGTTTTTTGCTGAATCTTTGGTCAAGATTGCTTCAGAGCTCTAAGGATTTTGTGTTTGGGCTTGAATGAATGTCAAAATGTGGAAAGTTGTCTACTTTTTCTGCAAATAGTCAATTATTGTGGTGGAATGATTGAAATGCTTGATCTGCTTGTCTGTGTATATAATTCGTGTTAATTTTAAGGATTTTGCTTGAAATTGTTGCTGCAGGTACCTGGATTCTTGCAAGAGCCACGATGTGCTACCCAATTCTGCAATACTATCAGCACTGTATAAGGTGATTACCCACTCACTCCTTTTGCCACAAGAATAGTACTCAATCTGATAACTGTTCACACGGGTAGCTCAGTTGGTTTCTAGGTAGTAAATTGTGGGCAAGGACACAGTATCGAGCCCGCAATGTGGGAGTTTCACCCTATTATGGGGGTGGCTTCTTGTGGGCACAGACAATGGTCTTCTGACCTATTGAGTCACCATGGTTCTTCTTTTGTTGGCAAGAAGAATAGAATAACTGAATTTTTATTTGATGAAATGAAAACATATTGCCTCGATTTCTGCTTTTAGTGTTTATTTTGTGGAGGATTGTCAGTCATGATAGCATTTGGTGCTTGAGCTTGCATACTTGTCAGATTGAGTAGTATTCTTCTTGTTCTTTATAACAATGGTTAGAATCATGCAAAAAGATTTCATTTTGTGTTCAATTGGTTTAATCTCAATGGATGGACTCTTTGGTGTTGCTGTTCAGGCCATGTTGCAGAAAAGAATACAGCAGGAGTGCACCATTGTGGTTTCGCTTGATGAGCTGGAGGATTCCGACTTATCCCCCATTATTGATGCCCTCCTTAAAGTTCACTCTTTTAGCGTTGATGCAGTGGACATACTTTGTAGATCTCGCTCTATCTTGAACCAAGAGTATGTCTTGTCTTTAATGCGGGCAGTGGATTCAAAGCTTCGAATTGCCAATCTCCAGGATATGTTATTGAGAAAGGATATCTTATGGTATGTATTGGTGATGATATTACCCTTCACAATATTGGCATTCTTGTATCTGCAACACTTTATATTGACCAGCAATTTTTAGGGATGAAATTTCAACGGGGAAATGAAGTTTAAAAGTATACTTTGATAATAATGCTCAACGCCCTTGTAGTGGTTAAATTAAACCTTTGTGATAGTAATGTTAGGATGGGATCTTTGCAGGGAACTTTTTGAAGGTGGTTCAAATTGCGGTCTGCTAAAACTGAGGTCTACCGAGATTCAGAAACTCAACGTGACTGGGAATTTCGTGCAGCTACACACCCTCAATCTGGATTTCTGTTCTTCCCTCGTTTCTCTGGAGAAGGATTGCTTTGCTAACATGCCGAAGTTAACTTGTCTGTCAATGTGCGGGACGAGAGTAGCTGATCTTTGGACAACCAGTACTGCGTTGTCAAGACTGACTTGTTTGGCAGAATTACGGTTCCAAAACTGTATATGCTGCAAAGACACTGGAGTGTGTCTTGCATCATCCAGTAAGACAACAAATCTTATCTGTGCAAGAATCTCAATCAGGTCAATTAAGTAATTGCTCTTATAGCAGGTGATTACTCATACACGGTATAGATGTTACGTATTTGAATATTTTGCAGATGATTCCGATGACCTGGTTTCTACTCCTATCCACGATTTCCAGAATACACCTCAGGAGTTACCAGATGATTTGGTGGATCGAGTTCTTGATCAGATCAAGAAAATTATGGCACTAGATTTGTCTTCTGCTTCCTGCTCTGGACCACAAAGTTTAGAACTCGAGGTCAGAAAGCCAAAGCCTTGTGTTGTGAATTGTGATAACGGATTAAGTTGTAGTCTATATTATTTTTGTCGCCTCAAGTTCCTATCACTTATCAGGTCCCTGCTGGAGAATTGAATGTTCAAGAGAAAAACGAGTCTCCTCGTCCCTTGAAGCTAAGAGATACTTCAATTGTTTCCGAGATGTATGTTTCTCATCATGCTTCTCCCATCTGCTTCGAGAAACACTACAGGGAGTACATGATTACATCATTGCCTCGTCTTCGAGTGCTAGATAATATGCCTGTAAGGAAAAAGGATAGGGAAATAGCCAAGGCCGTCTTCTCGACTTCCTATGAGTATTTACCTTACAAGCGCCCGCATAAAGAGAGTGTTCTTAGAGTTTTGCATATGCGTGAAACTGGAACAAACAATCTGTACTCTAGAAAATCGGCAAGAGTGGAGAGGCCAGCTTCCCAGGGAAATAGCCAGTTTTCCTATTACAGGTCCCTTTGTGCTGCGAAATTCAGGGCTTCATCATGGCCTTCTTCAAACCCCTTGTCTCAGATTTGCGATATTATTAAAGAAGACAACAAGATCCCTCAACCAAGACAGTTTGAGTACCACCCGTCTGATCCTAGTCTAATGTCATTCGGTACCTTGGACGGGGAGGTGGTTGTTGTAAACCACGAGAGAGGAAATATCGTGACTAGAATTCCACCTTTTGGAATGACAAATAGCGTTTTGGGGCTTTCTTGGCTTAACAAGCATCCATCAAAGGTACTTATTCATATCCTCACTGAATTCATGACTATGAACTATGCTTTATTGGTGACTATGAACTCTTTAACATTATGTTTAGTTTCTTATATAACTAAAGCATTGTGGAAGTGCTGTTCTAGACAACATTGATCGTTTCTCATAGTCTAGTCGCGTGCTAAGTGGTTTAAAGCAATATATATTTTCGTGTTGTTGATCTAATCCACTTTGATGACGGTTCTTGAAAATCAGCTGCTTGTTGGTTCCGATGATGGTTCTTTGAGATTGTATGACATCAATCATGCTCGGGAAGAAGCAGGAGGCTACTATTACACCTCAGCCCCTATAATTTTCGAGAGTTTTGAGCACTTGACTTCAGTTCATGTCAATTCAACCGATGATCAATTCCTCACGAGTGGTTATTCCAAGAAAGTGGCTATATATGACATTTGCAGCGGCAAGCGCATACATATGTTCAGTGACATGCACACCGAACCCATAAATGTTGCTAAGTTTGCAAACCACTCCCCTAACGTGTTGGTCACGTCATCGTTCGACCACGATGTCAAGCTGTGGGATTTACGACAGCAACCAATGCGCCCTTGCTATACAGCTTCAAGTTCGAGGGGAAATGTGATGGTTTGCTTCTCGCCTGATGACCTTTATGTGCTCGTATCTGCTGTAGACAATGAGGTACTTAAACTCATAACGAGAGAGTAGAGACTGTGTCTAAAGTTTATATAATTGTAGATACTCCGTATATGATAACAGACTGAGGCTAATTCCAATGATGCCAGGTGAAACAACTTCTGGCAGTAGATGGAAGACTTCATACAGATTTCGGGATACACTCAACCGGAAGTGCTCATAACTACACACGCTCGTATTACATGAACGGAAGGGACTACATCATCAGTGGAAGCTCTGATGAGTCAGTTGTCCGCATTTGCTGTGCTCAAACCGGGAGGCGGCTGAAGGACTTGTATTTGGAGGTAGAGCCTAATAGGAGAAACGTTTGCCTATGATTTCATTCCAACAATACATTTGACAATGTCTGGTGTGTTAATCTGCTTGGTCTGTTACTTCATTTGCAGGATAGGGACTTTGGACACTCGATGTTCGTGCAATCGTTGAGAAGTGATCCCTTTCGAGTAAGCTCTCCTCCATTGTCATCTCGCTTGCATAGTTCATAATAATCTCCAGACAATAATGTCCCAACACATTATCATTTTTCCATGAATTAGCTTCTCATGCATCTGAAACATGTGTATTTTCCATTGTTTTAGCACTTTCACTTGGCTGTCTTGGCTACCTATGCTCATCCCTGCTCAAAACGCGATATCATCAAGGTACCTCTCGAACTCTTCATTCTTCGCATTGTGAACTAGGATCACGCCTTATATTATATCATGATTCCTCATTTCTTCATAGGCATTACAAGCAAGATTTTACTAATCTGTTAATTCTCAGGTCAATTTGCTGGAATCTGCCCAATCTAAGGAAAACTTGGGATGATAAGACTCATTCCAGATTTCCAACAGTCTTGGGGGTTGAATTATTTACTTCTGCAAATCTGTTATCTGTATGTATTGTTCATATACTATTTCATGACACAGTTGTATGTAATTTTCTCCCATTTCATTGTATAATATATAGTCACCAGGCTGAAGATATAATACTAGAAGTAATTTCTTCTTTAACAATAAAACTACAAGGTTGCAACTTGCAAGGTTCTCAAAGATCTACAAGACCATAATATACATTCTGTCATCTTCCTTGTAATAAAGAGGGGCCCCTTATCTCCATTTTCGTCCCACGACTACTAAATTCAAGAAGCAACCATTAGCTGGAAAGGTTAGATTGGCATGGTACACATAAGTGTTAGGAGGGGCACTGAATCAACTCACTTCATCTGTGATCCTCTTGTTTTGGAGAAAGGGTATGTTCCTCGACACGAGATATATTATGAAGGCAACATATGCAGCTGTGAAAGCAAATACTGCAGATGTAAACACCACTCCACTAACTTCTGAAGAGAAGAAGTCCAGCAAGAGATATCCATTAATGATAATCACCAAGGTAGCGACGAGCCATGATATTACCTGAATGTAACACGATAATGGATGTTGTAAATATGAGTGCTCTTGTAAATAGGAATGTAAAAATAGTTTCTGGATCATCCCTCTGTTGAGCATATATATAATATATAAACATACATAACCAACCCCAGCTTAGGCTTTTCTTTTTTTTGAGTACTATTGACTCTATTACAAGAGGTAGTATTTGTTCTATACTTTCTCTATCTATTGCAGCCCAAAGAATCAATATCCCACCATTGGGGTTCGATCCTGTGACCTTCCCTCAAAGAGAGCCACAGAGGTGCTATCTAAGCACAATGTGCTTGGCCTCAGCTTAGGCTTTTAGTTGACATGGATCACATGCTTCAATTTAGTACCAGAACCAACCCCATACAAGCTTAGTCTTTTAGTTGAATAAAGCACATGCTTTAATTCCCTCAAATATAAATGTGCAGATCAAAAGCATACCTTGAGGATGGGGTTAATCTTGAAAACGCCCATTAGTTCCTCCTTGGAGACTAGGCAAAGAAGGGGAATGAGAGCAAAAGGGATCTGGACTGACTGAAGAATATTAAGCCACTCGTTTAGAACATCCAACGAGTCCTTGGAGGTGTCAAAAATAAGGGCAACAATGAGAGTTGGGATAATAGCAAAGCTTCTTGTTATCAACGCCCTCTGCCATTTCTTCAACCGCATATGCAGGAAGCCTCCCATGATGAACTGCCCGGCATAGGTTCCAGTTATAGTGCTGCTTTGACCAGCAGCTAGCAATCCAATAGCCCATATGTAAAGGATTGGAAGCAACCCTCCTCCATACTTCTCCTGAAGATACTGCCCTGCATTTTCAAGCCCAATGCTTTCCGCCTTGTCAGTACCATAGAATGACTTGGCAAACACAGTTGTGACAAATAGATTGATCATGAAAGAAACTGCAAGGGCAACTGCAGACTCTATCGAGTAGTAGTTGAGCGCTTCCCGAACTCTGCCTATCTTGCGCTTGTCAACATCCCTGGATTGTACAAGAGCAGAATGCAGAAACACATTGTGAGGCATGATAATACACCCAACAACTCCCACCGCCTGCTTTATTGTTCCCGAGCTGAGCTTTGGAACCAATATACCTAAACTTACAATGGCATTTACCATAGTTTTAGATCAACCAAGAAAACAGTTCAATCAATCATAAAACTACAAAGACAAATGCTCAAACATTAAACCGACTGTCCTCACCAAGAAGAAGTTCAACCCCACTAGGCTTCGTCTCTCCAAACATCCACGCAAACGAGAATGCCATAACACCAATGAGTACAGCGAAAAGAGCTTCTAGTTTCCTCACTCCATAGTTCTCAAGAAACAGGAATATAAAGCTGTAATCAGAAAGAACATAATTTTATAGGTCAAATGCAGAATGTAAATATCAATAAGCCTCTAGACATCAGATATATAAACAATAGAAAAGAAATGTTAGAGTCAAACTTTTAAATTGACCTCTATAAACATCATCAGTTAAAAATTCCAAACAATTGGACAAAATTGAGGTAATCAAAGTTCTTTCTTTTCCTTGTCCACTGCAAGAGTATGAGACATACATATATAACAGGAGAGAGCTGAGAATGAGTATAAACATATCTATTGAGTAATATGAAGGAAAAAAAAAAAAAAAAAAAAAAAAAAAAACAGGCAGAAATTAGAATTAATATATTAAATTACTAGTCCTTTTAGAACAAGCAAGTAAAGGCTTCTCCAAGCAAGGAAAGTAATCTTAAGAATTTGACACCCAAGGTGTATTACTTTGTGATAAGAACAAATTAAGAAACTAATTTTGGGATGGAAGGAAGAAATATGAAGAGAAATTACCAATCTAGAGCAGTTATGACGACACCAGCCCAGAGAGGCAAGAAACCATTACTGAGAATCTTGATGGCAATGGCACTGCCAATTACCTCTTGAATATCGGCCCCAATCAGAGCCAGCTCAGCCATAACCCACAGCAACATCCTAGCCCACTTGGGGTACTCGTCCCGGCAGAGCTCAGCCAAGTGGCGGCCGGTAGCAACCCCGAGGCGGGCGGACAAGAGCTGGACCAGCAGACCCATAGCCGTGGCCCAGAAGAGCAGCCACAGCAGGGAATAGCCGGCAATCGCGCCGGCCTGAAGATCGCCCTCCAAATTCCCGGGATCGAGAAAGGCTATGCTCATCAGGAACCCCGGGCCGGTGAAGAGCCAGAGCTTCTTCCATGAAAAAGGCGGCGTCTTTGTGCTGTCCTCCTCGGTTTCGGCTTCGTCAAGTCCGATGATGTGGACTTTCTCGGTGCGCTCATAGGCGCTATCTTCCTCGTCCGGATTCAGTAACGGCTGCTCGCTTCGGTTCTCTTCTTCATGCGAACCCATTTCTATTTCCTTCACTCCCTCACAACAATCTCAGAGAGACCATTAACACGACCTTCGGGGAAGGTTTTCTTACACGCAAATGGAGCGGGGAAGAAAGAAGTTTGTGAATTTTTTTATTTTTTATTCTTTTATTGCTGTGTGCCTGTGTCTTTTTTTTTTTTTTTTTTTTTTTAATTTTATTTTTTCCATCCCTAAAAGGAAAATGCCAGTCGTCACTATGACTCTATCTTTCTCATTCACTTATTATTTTTCTTTTTTTAGATATTATCACTTTCAGTCCATTGATTATAAGTTATGTTTCACAAATTTAATTTAAAAATTACGATCTAAAAATAAATAAGTTAATAAACGTACAATGACAAAAATATATTATTATTATTATTATTATTATTATTATTATTATTTTAAGAATGAGAAAGAAATAAGGGAAAATGGATAAGCTTTAATTAAGGGAAGTAGTGGATAACATTATCTTTTAATATTAATAGAGATTATAATGGAGAAAATTGGAAAGTTATACATATACTAATTCACTTTCTTATTATTTATTATTGAAAAAATTATGGTGACTGATTATGACATTGATCAAATCAGGAATACTCAACAATTATAACAACTTGTAATGCTTATTTACATTTACATATACAACATTATCTTATACATTATTTGATTAAAACATTTAATTCAATTATCATTATCATACTAATGTTCACAACAATATACAACATCAAATAGATAAAAATAAACATACCTAATATTATTTACTTCAATAAAATCAAATTTTAAGCTTCAAAAGTTCTCAAAAAATGATGACAAATTTTAAAACTGATGCATGAATTACCTAGGATGAAAAAAAAAATCACATTTAGCTAATGTTAGTTTCTTCTCTAGAAAGTAAATAATAATAATAATAATAATAATAATAATAATAATAATAATAATAATAATAAATTGAATGGGTGCCCGTTGCGTGCACCAGAGTAATAATAATAATAATAACAATAATAATAATAATAAATTGAATGGGTGCCCGTTGTGTGCACAAGAGTTGTCTAATGCGAGCGTACAACTCTGACTTTTTTTTCTTTAAAAAAGAAAATAAAATTCTTACTTTTTTTCCTACTTAGCATCCTAAATTTGCTAAAAATATCATATTTAGATTATTATTCCACTAATGTTGCTTTCATGATTGCAATTATGTTTTTTTTTTATGTATAAATTTAATAATTTAATAATTACATTAAAGTATAATTAATTGGGAATATTTTTTGCCCAAAGACACTATTGTGAGATAATTGTGAACTTAATTTCGTAATCTTTGCCCACATTTGGAACAACAATTGTGGGGGGGCATATGTGATGTGCCATCTTGGCCACATTAGATGGATAAGGACCTTCTTATGATCTACTCATTCTTCACTTAAATTTGCTTTACCTTAGCCATTTTCTATTACTTGCTAAATATGTAAATAATTTCACTACATACTTTCACTTTACGTTTTTATTTTTTATTTTTATGGATCATACATTCTGTTTAATTACACAATTAAATCCAAGCATAATTCTTCCTAAAGTCGATGGGTTTTCCATTGAGCACTCAAATGAATCATATAAAAACTTAAAACATATATATTCTCAAATTCTACTCTATCATTTTTATTTCCTGATGTGACAGACAATACTCTCTGATGTGGCAGATAATAACAGACTATTGTTATTGTTAGGACTCTAGTATTAGTAGTCTAGTAGAACTCTTTATACTTGTCTTCTATATTAGTATTGTACAGACTATTATTCGTTTTCGGTTAATCAATACAATCCTCATCTGGTATCATATCTAGGTTTCTTTCCATGGCAGCTTTGGGTGGGAATAATGATGGATCTGTTCGTGATTCTTCAGAACGGACCGTCTCCGAGGTTGCCTCCACCCCCATTTATCCGTCTCCGAGCTTGTCCAGTGCTCATCACTTTGTGTCGATCAAGCTCACCGCACACAATTATCTGTTCCGGCGTACCCAGATGCTCCCGTTTCTCGAAGGTCAGGGGGTGTTGGGCTTTGTTGACGGCACGGTGGAGTGTCCGCCGGCAGCCTCGTCGGCTTCGTCAACGGCAGACAGCGGCAGCACTGCCTCGGCAGTAGCGTCGCCGGTGGTGCAGTGGCGTCGACAGGACAAGGCTGTCCTGTCTCTCTTGATCTCGTCCTTGTCTGACGAGATGCTACCGTTGGCTGTGGGCCGACCGACGTCGCGTAAATTGTGGTTGGCGATTGAGCAAGAGCTCGGCTCGGCAACGCGGTCTCGCGCGGTTCGTTTGCTCAGTGAGCTGCAGCGTTTGTCGCAGGGGGCTTCGTCCGTTTCGGATTATTTGAACCGGGCGCGGATTTTGGTGGAAGACTTGGCCCTTGCTGGGCGTCCGGTTCCTCTTGATGAGCAGAATATTTATATCTTCCGTGGTCTGCGGTCGGATCTTCGCCCGCTCGTTGCTCCGTTGACTCGTGGTGACCCGGTAACTCTCTCGGATCTTTCCGATTATTTAATTTCTCAAGAATATATCTGCGCAGGTGATGGTCCGGTTGGTGCGCCGGCTGCCTTGACCGTTCACCGTGGTGGCCGGGGCGGTCGTGGCGGAGGCCGGTTCTCCCGAGGTGGCTCGGGCAGTGGGGGTTCCGGCGGCAGTGGTTCGGGCACCGGCGGTTCGGGCAGTGGCGGCCGTGGTCGCGGTGGCCGGGGCCGTGGCCGTGGTCGCTCGGATGTGCGTTGTCAGATTTGTGACAAGATTGGGCACTCGGCGGCGAATTGTTGGCGCCGTTATTCTGAGTCGTCTGGTCCTCAGGCTAATGTGGCTTTTTCTGGTGGTGAGGGTGGTTCGGTTGACTCTCACCAATGGTTTCCTGATACGGGGGCCACTAATCATGCCACTCCCGATTCCTCTCAGTTGATGTCCTCGGCAGGCTATGACGGTTCGGACACTCTTCGTGTCGGCAATGGTGAAGGTATGCCTATCTTTAGTGTTGGGTCTACTTCGATAGCCTCGTCTTCTAGAGTGTTTCGATTAGATGATGTTTTGCATGTCCCTGGTTTGTCTTCTTCTTTAATTTCTGTTCAACGCTTTGCTAAAGATAATCGTGTCTTTTTTGAGTTTCATCCTGACTGTTTTCTTGTGAAGGATCTCTTGACCAGGGAGGTGGTTTTTAAGGGGGGAACTTCTGGTGGCTTATACTCCTGGCCCGCGTCTTCTGCTCGTTCTGTTGCTTATGTTGCTGCGCGTGCTTCGTCTTCTACGTGGCACAAGCGGCTTGGTCACCCTCATACTCGGGTTCTTCGTCAGATTTTGCAGTCTTCTGGTGTTAGTAGTTTTAATTCTAGTGATCTATCTCGTTTGTGTTCTTCGTGTCAGTTAGGGAAGTCATCCCGTTTTCCTTTGCCCCGTGTTGAAACTAAAACTACCCGTGTACTAGAATTGGTTTATACTGATATTTGGGGCCCTGCGCCTGTGCACTCTGTGAATGGTTTTCGTTACTTTGTTTTGTTTGTGGATGACTTTACCCGTTTTATTTGGTTTTATCCGATGCGCTTAAAAACTGATATATATTCCATATTTGAACGGTTTCGGTCACTCGTTGAGCGCTCGTTCTCACAGAAAATACTTTCTATTCAGTCTGATTTAGGGGGAGAGTATAAGAAACTTCACTCTACCTTTGAGTCTCTTGGCATTCGTCACAGGCAGTCCTGTGCATACACACATGAACAGAATGGGCGGGTAGAACGCCGTAATCGGCATATAGTTGAGACTGGCTTGGCCCTGATGGCTCAAGCGTCTGTCCCATCTCGTTTCTGGGACTATGCGTTTGAGACTGCTGTATACTTGATTAATAAAATGCCTACCAGTGTCTTAAATAATGAGTCTCCTCACTCTCGTTTGCACCGGTCTCCTCCGTCCTATTCCTTTTTGCGTGTCTTTGGGTGTTTGTGTTTTCCTTTATTGCGTCCCTATAACCGTAATAAATTGGAATATCGTTCTTCTCCTTGTGTGTTTTTAGGGTATCCTGACTCTTTTCGTGGCTATCGTTGTATGAATCCTGTCACTAATAAGGTCTTTATCTGTCGCCATGTGCGATTCGATGAGTCCGTTTTTCCTTTTGCTAGATCTGTTGCTTCGCAGGTGGTGTCTCGGCCTCCAGTGGTGCCGTGGGGTGTTGCCCCCATCGTGCCTATCTCCTCTTCAGTTATGGAGCCTGTCGATGATACACCGGTTCCGGATATGCCCGCGGGTCCGGCTGACTCTGTCTCCACTGAACGGACCGTTTCGGCTGTCCCTAAAGCTTCTCGGGGTCGACCTCGTGGTAGTAAGAACAAGGTGGCAGGTCCGCCCTCTCATGTTATGGCAACGAGGAGTCGGGGCCCGCAGGAGCATGTGGCTCTCGTTTCTGCCGCTACAACACCCGAGCCGACATGTTATTCTCAGGCTGTTGCGCATCCGGAATGGCGTGAGGCCATGGATGCTGAGTTTAATGCTCTCCTACACAACCAGACTTGGACTCTGGTCCCGTACACTCCAGGTATGAATGTTGTGGGTTGCAAGTGGGTGTTTCGGGTGAAACGGAATGCTGATGGGTCTATTGAGCGACATAAGGCTCGTCTGGTGGCCAAAGGTTTTAATCAGGTCGCTGGTAAGGATTTCTTTGAGACTTTCAGTCCGGTGGTCAAGCCAACCACGGTTCGCCTTCTTCTGTCACTTGCTCACTCCCGTGGTTGGTCCATTCGTCAGCTGGATGTCCACAACGCCTTTCTGAACGGTAACCTGGCGGAGACAGTGTATATGCGTCAGCCGCCTGGTTATGAGGACAAGTCTGTTCCTGATTATGTTTGCCATCTACAGCGTTCATTATATGGACTGAAGCAGGCTCCTCGTGCCTGGTTTACCCGATTGCATGACTTCCTGATCTCTGTTGGCTTTGTTCCGTCCAAGACTGACGTTTCGTTGTTTATATATTCTGTCAGTGGTGTGCAGCTTTACTTTCTTGTGTATGTGGATGACATTTTGGTCATGGGATCGGACTCGAGCCGTGTTGATGGGCTTGTGGCTCAGCTTGCGCGTACATTCAAGATTCGGGACATGGGACCCCCGTCTTTCTTTCTTGGCATTGAGACGATGTCACTATCTGATGGTATTCTTCTGTCTCAACGGCGTTATATACAGGATATTCTTAGACGTGCAGGCATGGTTGACTGTAAACCGGTTTCTACACCCGTTTCGGTGGCTCGGTCTGATGTTGATGATTCTACTCCGTTTGCTGATCCTACTCACTACCGTAGCATTGCGAGTGCTCTTCAATACCTGACGGTGACTAGGCCGGATTTGTCTTATGCAGTTAACAGGCTTTGTCAACGCATGCAGTCGCCCACCACTGCGGACTGGGCGGTTATGAAACGTGTTCTGCGGTATGTGAAAGGCACTCTTGGTATGGGTCTATGTATTCGCAAGTCGGAGTCTCTTGCATTGCATGCGTTCTCGGATTCGGATTGGGCAGGTAATCTGGATGACCGAAAGTCTACGAGTGGGTTTGCCGTCTTCTTGGGGTCTAATTTAATTGCTTGGTCTTGTCGGAAGCAACGGACAGTGGCGCGGTCCTCTACTGAGGCCGAATATAAGGCACTGGCTGATGTGGCGGCGGAGGTCACATGGTTGGTTTCTTTGCTGCGCGAAATTGGCTTCCCTCCGGAAGCTGCGCCGGGGCTGTGGTGTGATAATCTGGGAGCAACATACCTCTGTGCTAATCCGGTTTTTCATGCACGAACTAAGCATGTTGAAATCGATTATCACTTTGTTCGAGACAAGGTTGCCAAGAAGGAGTTGCAGGTTCATTTTATTTCCACGAAGGACCAGCTAGCTGATATTTTCACCAAGCCACTTGCATCTGCTCGGTTTTCATTGCTTCGGGACAAGCTCAATATTTCGAATGCTCCACCTTGAGCTTGAGGGGGAGTGTTAGGACTCTAGTATTAGTAGTCTAGTAGAACTCTTTATACTTGTCTTCTATATTAGTATTGTACAGACTATTATTCGTTTTCGGTTAATCAATACAATCCTCATCGTTATCATGTGGGTCCCAAGATAAATGTAGAATTTAAGAGTGAGAGTAAAATTTGGGAATAGAACTTGGAGTCCACGTAATAATTTTCATAATAAATATACAATTTCACTTTCAAGCGAGTAAAAATTGAGAGTATAAAATAGGGATCAACCAAGTATTTTCATTAACTTATGAAAAATACTTCATGTATTATCATTTTCTCTTCAACTTTTATTCTCACACACAAAATCGTAAACACTTGTATTGAGACCCACATGAAAAAAGTAACATATCAGTGTCTGTCACATCAAGAAATAAAATTTAGCAAGTATGATTTGGGAATCAATTCAAGGTAACAGAAATATACAACTCTCAACTTATTATACCAATCTCATCTTTGCCGATTTTTCATCTTTCACCCATTTAGGAGTAACTTGCTGTCTACTACTATCCATAAGCAATCCCATTATTATCCATTGGAAAGCTGCAATGTTAGTGATGAGAGTGATGGAAGTGGCCACTTTTTCTCTACAATCTGTTGGTTTTGTCTGTATAAGAACCATGGGCAAGGTAAGGAAGCATCCTCGAAGCTCACTCTGCTGTCATCTATCGTTGAATTGGCTCCACCACACAACCTTAATGCTGCCCAACGGCAGATCGGAGCAACCTAGTTATTCTATGATATATAATTGAAGTTTGCGTATATATACTAACTTTTATATCATTCGATTCTTATTGAATTTTATAATTTACATGATTATTCTCAAACATTATATGCGGGCTATGTAAAGAGTGGTCTCACCATCATAATATATATTATGATGTGACATTTGAAAACATTTAGAGTTAGTAATAGAATAAATGCTTGTTTTTTTCTAGAGAAATTAAGAGCATCTATAGTAGTATTAGTTTTTTTTGTGGTTTTTATTAGTCCATGTAGGAAAGGGAGTAAGGAAGAGAGAGGAAGAAAATAAATAAGAAAATCGCTCACAAGTGTTCACCAAAAAAAAAAAATAATAAATAAATTAAACAAAGCATATTTACGCGTCAGCTAAGTGCGCCAGGCCAGGTGCGCGAAATGCACACCTCTGGGATGTTAATATATTCATTTCTCTATCTTCTAGCATCAACAAAGGAGTCCACAAAAATGTATTGTTTGCCGGAATTTAAAAAAAAAAAAAAAAAAAAATTCCACACTAGTTAAAAACCCACCCTTATTTTTTAGTCAACAAAAACTAAATAAAATCCACAAACGTGGATACTATAAGTTAGATGTGAGTAATCATAACTAAATTGATCAGACGATTAATTTTGATAACCATAATATTTCAAGTTTCAATTCTCATGAAAGAAACGTTACACTTTTTCTAACTATGAATGGTGTATATTTTCTTAAAGACCAAGAAAATTTTAATTTATGGACACCAAATTTCAAATCAACCTTATAACATTAATTGATATAGGGTTATGTGGTAAATCAACCTAAATAAAAAATTTCAATAAGTCAGCTCTCATTAAATTGAAATTTAAAATCTTACGATTATTTTCAAAAGAGACATTACAGTTGCAGAGTTGCAGCCTTAGTGGAGCACTTAATAAAAAGTATAAGAAAATAAGAAACAAGAATACGTGATTATTAAGCAAGTTGCGTTATACATATTCGTTCTTTTTATTTATTGGTTGCCATCTTTCACTTTCGCTTTTATGTCGCAGCGTCGGTACTGTACCCCGTCACGATCGCACTAAAATTTGCGAGTCCCAAACTTCTTGCCCGCACGCATATACGGTTAAATTAGATTGCACGCGACAATATTAATATCAAAATTTATATCGTAAGAATAACCGTGTGGGAGTTACTTTTCAAAGTGAGAAGGTTCTTTGTGAACAGTGAGCAAAGGTCTAGCATCTGTAGTTCATGTTCAGTTGAGTTACCATGATTTACATTCTTTCAAATATTTTGTCGGGTCGGAATGTGGGGGGCCCTTAGGGTTGGGGTTCAATCTTTTGGAAGAATGAAAATTTATATCGTGTACCATTCACATAGCATTATGAATTCTAAATCAAAATTATGTCGTTTTGATATTTAAACTTTAACTGGTTTTGTAATTTTTCATTTTTCATGTTTCAATGTAAATTTAATTTATTCTAGGTAAAGAATTAATATTCTTAAGTTACAAAATTTCATAACACAAGATACAAAAACATGCAATAGATACACGTGTTATATATTTACTTATTCTTAAATCTGATTTATGTAAATAATATATGTCCTATAGGCACATAATTTTATAATACAAGCTATAAATTTGTAAAATAAGACACATAATATTTTGTGTTACACAATTACTAATCTATTTCAGGTATAGAATTCATACGCTTAAGGTACAAAATTGCATAACATGAGACATAGAAATGCATAGCGCGAGACACATACACATGTTTTATATTTACTTTAGTTCAGGTACAGAATCAATATTCTTAAGGTATAGAATTACATAACATAAGACACAAAATCGCATAACACAAGATACAAAAAACGCATAGCACAAGATACAAAAGCGCATGTTATATTCACTTTATTTTAGGTACAGAATTCATACACTTAATTAAGGTATAGAGTTGCATAATATGAGACACAGAAACACATAACGCAAAATTAAAACATACACATGCTTTATAGTTAAAAAAAAATAAATTATAACGCGAATTGAACAATAAACAATCGGCATGAAAATTAAAAATTACATCATTTAGGACTAGAGTAGACAGTACACTATGAACCATCATAGTTCACTGTATAACGATGAGATTAATATAACGATTGGATTAATATAATGATGTACAGAAGTACAAAACGTAGTCGACTAGTCGCAACTGAGTAAATATCTTTTAATTGGATGGACTACATTTTAGTATTTCACATTGGTTCGTGAATACGAAGAGAATAATCTCCGTTCACACTGACCATTCTTTTTCATGAAGTGACTGCTTTCAAGTTTCAAGGATTACATATCATACACCATAGAAACTGGAAGGGCCAAACAGCCCAAGCGGCCCATATCGGACAACCCGATTCCTCCACTCCTTAACCGGATCAAAACTCCTTGGTTTTTGTTTTCTTCATTGATGTTTGACCAATAATCTTGATACTCTCTCGATAAAGCATCGGCAAAAAGGACAAGTCTTTGCTTCTCCTTCGATAATCCTACACCACAATTTATTAATTAATATGGATACTCAATATTTTAACCCAGTTGAACCGCCTAACCTCGATTGACCCATCTACATTGGATCAAAATATTTTATTATTATCCTATTTACTATCCTATTAAAACCTATTTATCTACCCTATCTTCCATAACCTTCCATTCATAACCCACTAATGGCCTATTAATTACCCTATTAATCCCTCACTAAAGACCCAACAGATACTTTCTAAACTTACTGCTATAAAACAAGGATAAAAAAGTAGGGGGCTCTTCCATCTATTTGCACCTGGAGGACTCTTCCTCACACCACACTCCCTAGAGAAGACTCCATCACTTTTCCCTACCAGAAGATACCTTATTCACTCATCACACATGAGAAGACTCTATCACTCTTCCACACAAGAAGAAGACTCCCTTTCGATGTACAAAGTAGCTTTATTCATACACAAATATGTATACATAGATACAAGCCAATACAAAGAATTCATAGCCAATTATCTTTTCGTTGTTAGTTATTTTATTTTACCGGTGAATCCATCAACCACGGTTTTGTTGAACCTCATTGAGCCCAAAAAACCCTAAAATCAACATACATAATTATATATTTTTTACCTCTATGAATAATTAGATTGATTTATCTCTGTGTAGTCCTTTATGAACTAGAATCAAGGTTTACTCAATGTACACATTTACAAATAGTGATTGCAGATTTTTTTCATCATCTTAAAAAAACTCTAGACAAACATATTTTAAGTACAGACAAAAGGCTTAAATTAAAGCTAAAGGTTGAAAAATTTCAAATTTATCATTATACCTGACAAATACTCCGTAATATTTACTGAGAGTTAGACGGAAGATTAAAAAAAAATGACAGAAAATCAAATAATTAAGAGAATTGTTTTTGTACTCGACACTAAATAAGACCGTGTTACTGGGGACTAAATGAGATTAATCATATCCTTATAAATTGTAATATAATGATGACTAGTTAATTAAAGTTTGTCCTAGCTTCTTCTAAACGCAACAAATTAAACTCATCTGCCCTGCCCAGAAAGCAAAACGACAAACCTTTTGGTACATGAAGAGCAGGTGGCGCAGTGACCGCACGGAACGAAAAACCAACTCCGTCTTTTGTCGTAGCAAATCGCACACACTTTTCCCTCGAACAGATCGTCGTACGAACTGCTCCGACCGCATGTCCCCAACTCCTCGTCTTCCTCGTCAAACACCCCGTACATTGTCGTCGCCGCCTCTTTCGACAGCAGCCCGCTACTCTCCGTCGCTATTCCTCCCTCCGCCACCGCGCCGCCGCCGTCGCAGAACCCCATCAGCTTCAGCAGTAACGCTATCACCATCACAAACACCGCTGAACCCCATCCAGACAAACAAAAACTAATAAGCACAAGAAAAAAAAAGTTTTATGTAATTAATTAAGCAATTAACTGACCCAGAACTGAGGTGTAGACAAAAACCATAACCGCAAATTCCAATGTAGTCCGCCGGTCATCATAGTCCTGCGTGATTGGAATTATATTACAGCAACAAGAAACCCAGAATTAAACAGTGATCAGAAGTAAAAATGCAGAGCTTTTCAAGAACCTTAATTATTACCTCAGAAGAAGTGATCGTCGGAAAGTTCATCTCAGGAGTCCCAGAAGACATTCTTTTTGGTTCTGTATCTCTTTTAATTTGCCGCTACTTTAAACCAATATAAAACGAGGAGGAAAGCTTAAAAGAATAAGGAATTAATTAAAGGATAATATAATGTAAAGCAGTACAGGAGGAGTAGAGGATAGCTAGCTTTACTATATATGATGGATCAAGCTAAGCTAAGCCGGTGACATATATGGGCTTGCTTTTCAAACTACTCTTCCCAGTTTAGGTGATTAAAGACGCCAAATGCTTTTACTTTTAACTTTATTACTCATCACAATTCACAACCTATCAAACATTGCAGTTTTGGGGCAATGGTTCAATTTGTTCATCAACACCTGTTGCTGGGATTATGAAAAAGTCAATACCTGCAATGAATGAATGAAGTTTTGGGGACTATGTCTTGGGTCCACTCTACGCAGTAACTCCGTAACTCTAGTAGACTTATGGTGCAATTAATGGCTTGCAGTCGTATTGTTATTTGGTAAAGATGACTTTAATGCCCACTCCATAAATGGTAATATAAAGCCATAAAGCCCTTGAAATTCCCAAGATAGCCTTTGAAAATAACAGGGATTTAATTATATCACGGTCCAACTACAATCACTTTGCAATATACAAGTTACAATGAAACCCACAACTATTACTAAAAGTATGCACTCTCTTATAATCTTATTCGACAAATTAAAAGATACAATGAGATAAATTAACCTAGATTACTATAATTAACCAGCTCAAATCAAATTTAATAGTCAGACCAACTTGAACCACTTCACTTCTAGTAGAGGTGGCTACGGGCCGATACAAGATTGAACCAGCCATGAATCAGTCCGGAAAAAAGCGAGCTTGAACTTCACCGGATCTGGGTCGAGCTTAGCCTAAACCTGAATCAACTTATAGAGGGCTAGTTCATGTCCTATAAAAAAATAGCCCAAAGCCCAGCTCGAAACCATCCCAGGCACGACCTAGGTCCCTAATAGGCCAGGGTTGGACAAAATCTAGTATGGACTTTATAAATTATAATCCACTTTATAATATTTATAAGTTATCAAATAATATTACAAGTCTTATAAAAAAATTTAATAGTACAAGTTCAAATGTTATTAAAATCTTATACATTTTTAATTTTGTAGACAATAATATTAATGTTTTATTTTGTGATTAATGGTTAATTATTATTTTAAATAAAAATATTAACTTTGAAAAAGTACGCATGGGTATATATATTAATATTATTATATCAAAAGGATAAAGTAGTTTAAATGGTAAGAATATTTATTGTTAATCATGATATTAATGGTTTAAATTTCATCCTAAATTAAAAAGAAAAAAAATGGACCTAGTCCGGAACTCGACCCAATATATATTGGGTCGGTCCTGATCAGTGCTAATCTAGACCCGAAATTTGGGCACCTCTAACTTCTAGAAGTAAGCATCAAACTGAAGTGATGATATATAGTTGTGCAGAGTATCTCATTCTGCTTTATGTACTTTAGTTTATCTTTCAACATATTCAATGAAAGACAACATCACATAGTTTCATGATTGTATATTTATATTCTCAAAGCGATTCCATGACTTTAGATCGCTTCTACGCAAGAGCAAACCCGAAAGAGACATGCATGCTTGCTTGTGCTTTAATTTACTCTTGTCTCTCTCTATATATATATATTAAAAAATATTATAATATAATACAAATAATTAACCATATATATCATGAAAATTAAAGTTCGTATTAATTACCTTGAAAAGATGGCGATGGAGATGGGATTTGGTTGAAATATAATATTAGCAGAAAGAATATAATGCATGAGTACGTCCGCTGTGATGAATGAAATAGAGGAAGCAGGTGAAGCACTGGAAGTGTGAGTAAATTAAGTACGGCATGGGAAACATGAACGGTGGCGATGCGTTAATGTATGACGAAGAGATTAAGGAAAGGCAGAACATGTATTATGTATATGTCACGTCTTTGACTATAGGACCGACAAATAGTACTTTGCGTCCCTTTCGGTGTGCAAATAGGGGAGAGGATACTGCTTATGCAATAAGTATTACCCGCCCAAGAAGATTGAACGTAACGTATATAAAATACACAACTTTAATTTTTTGATTAGTAAACTACGCACTAGTGCTTCAAAAGTCAAAACTGTATCCAGATATGGACTTAACTGGCCCAAATATGTTAGTGTAGGCCCAATTATGTAAAATCTTACCAGATATTGCTGGCCCAATTATGTATCAACTGCCCCATTACTCTTTCATCAATAATTATGGTGTGGATTATATTTTGTTTATTGTAAAATAATGTACATTCAATATAAAAATAATGTATTTTTAGTATATTAAAAATGTGTATTGTATTCAGGGGATGTACATTTGTAGAATACAAATAAACAAGAAGAGGAAAAACTAATATATTGTGTCTTGTCTCAACTTCAATACAAGCACTTGTATATATAGTGCTAACAAGATGATGAAAAATAAATACAAATGAGAAAACAAAGAGACACATGAAAAACCCAAGAGACACATGACTATTAATATAGATGATTAATATCATCAAATATCTCAACACCCCCCCCCCCTCAAGTTGGAGCATGCGGATCTGAAATGCCCAACTTGTGAAGAAGAAAGTCAAATTGCCTTTGCCCAAGAGCCTTTGTGAAGATGTCAGCTAATTGCGAATTGGTAGGAATGTAGGAAGGGAAGATCAAACCATCTTTAATTGCATCGCGAACAAAATGACAATCCACTTCAATGTGTTTTGTGCGTTCATGAAAGACTGGATTCTTTGCAATATGAAGGGCTGACTTACTGTCACAAAATAACTTTATGATTTTGGGATGATGAACCCCCAGACTTAACAACAAGCCCTTTAACCATTTGAGTTCACAAGTAACGGCTACCATGGATCTATATTCTGCTTCTGCAGAAGAACGAGAAACAGTAGTTTGTTTCTTTGTTTTCCACGAGATTGGAGAATGGCCAAGAAAGACCAACCAACCCGTAAGCGATCGCCGAGTAATAGGACATGCGGCCCAATCCGAATCACACCATCCCTGTAGCGTTAGATCAGTGTATGCTCATAGGAGAATCCCTTGACCTGGTGTACCTTTCAAATAACAGACAACTCTCAAAGCTGCTTCCCAGTGCTCATCATGTGGTTCTTGCATGAATTGAGACAACACATGAACAGAGTATGCGAGATCCGGTTGAGTTACGGCTAAGTAGATAAGTCTTCCAACTAGACGCCGAAGCTGCAGGATTAGAGAAAATTGGGCCACTAGCTAGGCCGAGTTTGTGGTTTTGCTCAATAGGAACACTAACCGGTTTGGCCCCCAACAATCCTGCTTCAGAAATAATATCAAGAGTATATTTCCTTTGACACAAAAATAGTCCAGAAGCGCTACGAGCAACCTCAATACCCAGAAAATACTTTAGAGTGCCGAGATCTTTCATATGAAAACAATCGCTGAGATAAGCCTTAAATGTCTTAAGAGCAGCATAATCACTCCCAGAAATGATGAGATCATCGACATAAACAAGTACATTTATCTAAATTCCACCCCGAGTAAAGGTGAATAAGGAGTAGTCGGAATAGGATTGTAAGAAACCATACCCTTTCAAGGCCGTAACAAGTTTTGCAAACCAGCACCTCGGTGCCTGCTTTAATCCATACAAGGACTTGCGCAATCGACACACTAATTTAGGATCGGATGCCTCAAAGCTCGGGGGAAGCTTCATATACACCTCTTCATCGAGATTACCGTGCAGAAAAGCATTGTGCACATCCATCTGATGTAGTTCCCAATTTTTAGATGCTGCAATGGCAAGAAGTGCACGAACAATAGTCATTTTGGCAACAGGAGCAAAAGTTTCTGTGTAATCGATGCCTTCTTCTTGATGATTACCAAGAGCCACTAATCTTGATTTGAGTCTTTCAATCGACCCATTTGAGTTATATTTGATTCGATACACCCAATGAACCCCAAGAGCCTTTTTCCCAGGTGAGAGATGTTCAAGAGTCCAAGTTTGATTGTCTTCGAGGGCCCGGATTTCATTTGTCATAGATTCTTTCCAACCGGTATGTGTCATCGCCTCCTTAAAAGATTTTGGTTCTTTTTCAGAAAGAATTGCTGCGAGAAAAGTTCTGTATGGTAGAGAAAAATTGTCACAATTTATATAATGTGCTAAAGGATAGGGAGTACCTGAGGGTGACTGTGGAGACGGTGTGACGGAGGATGGACTTTTAGCAACAGTAGAATTAATAACATAGTCGCGCAACCACACTGGAGGAACTTTATTTCTCATACCCCGACCCATCTCAACATTCGGATCCTGGTTATTTGGAGCAAGAGTACTAGTGTGTTGTTCAGGTTGTGAGCTGAATTCGGGTATGGAGTTTGACTCTGGTTGAGAGGTTGGCTCGGGTGTGGAGCTTGGCTCAAGTTGAGGGTTTGGCTCGTTTGTGGAGCTGGGCTCAGCTTCTTCAACAATTACAGAAAAATCTTCGTGAACAAATTCTTCATGAGGATTGATAGTCGTATCAGTGAGGGGAAATGGAAAAACATCCTCAAATAATTTCACATCGCGGGAAACAAAAAATTCTTTGGTGTCAAGATCAAACAGCTTCCAAGCCTTTTTCCCAAATGGATATCCCACAAAGATGCACTTTCGACTCTTGCTAGCAAATTTATCTCCTTTTGCTTTTTTGATTGTGGGCAAAGCAAAGACACCCAAAAACACGAATTGTGTTGTAAGATGGATGACTACCAAAAAGAATTTCATAAGGAGTTTTGTTACCAAGCAACGGTGTTGGTGTCCAATTTATAAGATGTGTGGCCGCAAGAACACATTCTCCCCAAAAATAAATTGGCAAATTGGCTTGGAATCTCAAAGCTCTCGCTACATTGAGAAAATGTTTATGTTTCCGCTCAACCCTACCATTTTGTTGAGGAGTTCCCACACAGGAAGTTTGAAATAGAATTCCAGTATCAGAAAAAAATCGCGCAAGCAATTGAATTCAGTACCGTTGTCACTCTGAACGACTTTGATTGATTGGGAGAATTGTCTATCAATCATAGCCACAAAACACAAGAACATTTTAAAAACCTCAATTTTATCCATCATCAAATAAATCCAAACTGCTCGAATAATCATCTATTATAGTCAAGAAATAACGTGCACCACAAGAGGATTGATGTTTGTAAGGACCCCACAAATCACAATGTATTTTCTCAAATATTCGAGATGCTCTGTTATTACTCAAAGGAAACTTATCTCTAGGTTGCTTAGCACGAAAACAAACCTCACAAGCTTTATTAAAACTTGC